TACACACTGCAATTACCCTTTCTTACCGTTGGAACTGCCTTAATTTTTCAAAGTACAAATTCAACAAATTTGCATTGTCTGCAAGAAAGCACAGTTTCCACAAATCTGTCGTGTGCCCCTCCATAAAAAGGAGAAAAGAAAACAGCCATCCCACCACATCCCAAAGGAGCGCACTTGAATTGAGATCAAGTGGCTGTGGAGGCCAGTAGATAACATCATTGTCATCCTTAAAAAAAACTGTTTGAGTTGGGACACGGTGGTTTATCCTGCTGGAAGAACTGCTGTCATAAATGAATACATGCAAAATGTCGCATAGGCTGCTATTTAGCACGAAAGGGCCCACCCGTCTAAAACAGATGTTATTGTCAAATTTGGATCCTTTGATATGAACGTCAAAGTTAAAATCAAGACTCATCAAACCAGTCAACAGTTTGTCCAGTTTTGATGAGCCAGTGTGAATTGTAGGTTCACTGCTATGTTCCTAAAGTCAATCTGCTTCAAGATTGGACATTCCAAGGCGGTCCTCTGCATACATTGATTATATGCAGACGATAGTAGCTTCTTTGAGCTACTGTTGGGTTGAAGTATTTTTTGGTCCACACAACTGCTACAGAGAAGTTGTGTCACATTTAAACTCGCTTGAGCAGGTCTACCTGGTAAAGCGCATAGTGAGAATATTTTTCAGAAAACTTTATGACACCCCATTTCAGCTTATTGTTTTAAATCGCGAGTAGCATAGCATTTCCTCATAGAGCACGAGTAGATTATAAAAAAGCCCAGGAAAGTACATCTAATCACTGGTTGTCAAACCAGACATTAAATGTGACCAGTGTGAGTAGAAATTGATGGATAGCTGCTACAAAATCTCCAGTGAAAAACAGGTCCCTAAAATTACAGAACAACCAAAACCGCAAAAGCAAAAAAAATAAAGAAAAAAAATGATGAAAGGGGAAAATGACCAGCACGCTGCGTTATAAACCCCGCCAACACCAATCACCAACAAGCCTTCAAAAGCAGCTGTCATATCGTGCACAGCCAGACGGAACCAACTTTCAAAACTTCTTAGACTGAAAAAGTAGGGCACAAAAACCGAGAAAGACCAGTGGCTTTGCAGCAGCAATGGGTCCTCACCCGAAAAAAGGCAGCTGAAGCGATACATTTATTAATAGTGCTCATGTGCCACTTTTTTTTTTCCCCTTTGAAGTGGTGGAGCGGGCAGAGGGAGAGACAGAATAAGTAAAACAGAGAGAGTGAGAGAGAGAGGAAGAGAGAAAGTGGGAGAGAGAGGAGGTCTCTCAGATTCTGCGGTCAGACAATATTCCCTCTGGGTGGAGTGGGTCCCATTCACAGTGACCTCAATAGCCCTACAGTGAAGTGCAAAGTGAAAGAGTGAGAAAAGGCCCCATCGGAAAATGGAAAAGGGGGAGTTAGCTCACAGTTTTTTTTCTCTCTTCTTGATGATATTGATTAAAGAGCTTAGGAGAAAGATCTGAACACATGAGGCCCGCCATTGTGTGAAGATGAGAGGGCTGGGCAGGGTTGGAGAGCCACTGTTAGGAATGTTTCAAGTCCTCCAAGGTTTCCACTTGACCTGCAGGTTGAGGACCAGAAGCTTTCCATGTGGCTACTCTGTTTACAGACTTTAAATGTCTCAGCTGTGAAGGTTACTATTACATTATGCACAAATTAGATTGAAGAAAGCATGGTGTTAATTTCAGCTACACAGAATTTGAGAATGTATTTTGAAATCCAGCTATTGGAGGAAAAACTATCTGATTAGAATAATATTCAGAAAAAAAAACAAAAGAAAACCGTGTGCTCCAAGTACAAACCAAACTAGATGTTGGTATTATTATTATTATTTGGGAAAATAAATAATACATGCATTTAAAATAACTGGTATTAATGTGGTTTTAATATGGTTATTTTAGTTAGTGTGACGCTAGCACCAGGAGATAGCTAACTACGTCAGCAAAACAGGTCCTGAACTTTCAGCAATAGCTAATTGAAACTTTAACTTAAAATTATTATGTTTTCATCACCAATTAGAAAAGCGTTGCATTTTTTCAGCCCTTTATCTTTTGGATTTTCTACTTCATGTGAACATCAAGCTAACAAGATGGCTCTTACTTTCATTGCAGACAAAACTAATTTGTCCTTATCTTTTCTGAATAAAACCCTTTGTCGCCAAGATAAATGTATTCTTTTTTAAAAAGAGACAAAACACTTTGCAACATTACTAAAACCAAATATTGCATTTTGGAGTCTTACTTTTCCATTGATTTAAAAGTACTGCTAAGCAATTATTACTTTTCTACAGTATATATATATTATTTTTTTTCTTAACTGTCTGCAGTTAAAGCACATAGAATGACAGCAGTGAAGAAGGTGGAAGCAGGTGACAGACTGTTGACCAAAATAAACTTTTATTTTAAGAATCTAAATGCTCTGCTGAAGAAGGATATCCGAAAACAGAAAGCCGGACTGTCTAAGCACTTATGCTACTCTGACTTTAAATTTCCCACTGGCATAATGAGGGAAGGCAGGGGAATGTGTGAACTGAGAGAAAAAATGACCAACAGAAGAGCAGGTGTGGTAATTAGTAACCCAGACCAGGTGTGACAGGAGGAGAAATCTAGATAAAACAAAAATCAGCACAGATAAAGAAAAACAGGGCATACTGGATCCAGAGCCACATAAAGTCTCAGACATACTTCAGGTGTCAGAATGCGACTGAGATACATTTCTCACCTTAATAGTTTTTGTGGCATTTTGACAAGAGAGAAGTAGAGACAGGACAAAAAAGGCTACTAAATAAAATGCCACATCATGGAATGATCTGGTGTTTGGAGTCTTAAGGCAAACAAAGACATCACAAGGATGGGGAAATGAGTTTATTGGAAGTGGGGAGAATAAGAACATAGTTCTTTCCACAAGAACAGTTGTTTTCACAGCTTATTTGCAAGTCTTCATCTTCCTAAAATAATGGGATAAGTCTTCCCCCCCCCAAAAGATTTATTTATGGTACACATTGGTGGCATATCACTTACTGCCTTTATTTCTCATGTAAATAAATATTGTTGTCTCTGATACCCACCTTGTACAAACATAAAAATGACTGAATTGAAAGATTCATAAAATAGTGAGTGAAAATCCTGACCTCTACATAATATGTGTGCAATTTAAGTTGTTTTAAGACGCACTGCTTTGGTCTTTGAAATTCTCTCAGCCATTACTTTCAACCTCTGAAAACAACTAATCTGGATTAATAACTAAGATTCAAACTCAGTACTTCTGATCGACACATTATGTTGGTTCTGCCTTTTATCACAACCTCACTGAAATCACTCAAAACGTGAACTATTCCTGATACAGATTTCACAGAAATGTTTTTGCGGACCTGTGCATTATTATTATTGCAATCTGAAATCTTAATATATATGGACCTTTATCCATGACAATTTCATAGTGGAAAAAACCCCAAAACACAGAAATCACTGGGGATTTTTTTTTGGGGGGGGGGTTTTAGCTTAAATATATTAGAAAATTGTATAAAATGTGCTTGGAACAATATCAAACCTAAGTTATTTTCAAAGATGTGCTTTTGTGATTTCCAACATTTTCAGCATCTTAAACACAACCAGAGAGGAGATCTGCTGCAAACAAAAACGCTGGAAGCTGATGAAATAAACACCTCGTTTAATTATAGTTATGGGTTTTAATTACTTGGACGGTAGTCAGGTGCGAGTGGGCGCCCTGTTGTATTTAAAGAACAATGGTCCCTGAAGGTCTTTATGTCTCATAAAATGTTTGCAAAGAAGACTTCAGAGGATAAAGAGCTGCTGCTTTTAAATCCAAACGTTTTCATGTCTTTTGCAGATTTAGGTTGAAAGCAATCTTTTCTTTTCATTTCACTAACCTGTTTCTTCTGACCGGAGTTAATATTAACTTTTTGAAGTGGCTCAATCAGACTTAACTCTAGAGAACCTGGGAACTGAGCTAAAACTCTCCACCTTTGTTTGGGCAAAGGTGGAGAGGGCTTTCCAAAAATACCAATGGAAACATTCAAAAAGTTTGTCAGTAAATAAAGATTATTGTGCAGGACGGCAATAATTTCGAACGTTCTATTTAGTAAAATTTAAATGAAAACTTTCGGATTGCTTTACATTATTATTTATTATTATTATTACTTCTTGCTTAAAAACAAATTAAATTTATTTAATTGAATAAATTTAAACTGTCAGGGTTTTCAATAAAATGATGAATACATTTTAGGTTGAATAGGGTGAGTGAAATATATCTGCAAATCCTCCATATACATACATGTTAATACCACTTTTTGTTTGTTTGTTTTTGTTTTTTACCATTGAACTCAAGTCCTGACTGCCTGGTGAAGAAGATGTTGCAGAAGGACTTGGACTCAGATCTCATCCAGGACGTTTCTGTGAGGAGTTCCCATGTACTCTGGAGTTCCCATGTACTCTGGTTTCCTTCATCCACTGCAGATGTCCAGGTAACTCCCCTCTCTAAATTTCCCTTAAGTTTGAGTCTGGGCTGTTTCTGTTTTCTCTCTCTGTCTCTCTTTTATTTCGACACACCTGTCGCCTGTTTGGCTCAACGAGAATCTTTCACAAGCTTTCCCTAACCCTAACCCAACCATCAGTGGCGGGCCATTGAGTGACCGCCTCACGTTCACATCAGCTGTCTCTTCCTTAATGCCTCTCCTGATAATATTTCCTCTCCTCTCTCCCAACCATAATCCTCACAGCCCCCACAAACTCATCCCCGTTGCACGTTTTCAGATCCACAAAAACGCACACACGGTCGCACATGGAGCCCCATTTGAATTGCAAGTGAGCCGCCGCCGTGCTCGCAAACAGGGAGGAGGTGGGGAACAAGTGGGAAAACAACAGGAGGGGAGGGAGGAGGATGGAGGCCTTGCCGACCGGGTGACATTCACACGGCGTTTAGTGGGACGAGCCTCCGTGTGTGAAGGAGAGAAAGAGTGAGGAGGGACAGAGGAGGATGCGTGGGACAGCCCTGAAGGGACACCCGAGCTGTCCCACGAAAAGAGCTGGGAAGAGACACCTTCTGAACTACAGGACCGGGTTTCCTCATGGGAGAAGGAGTCAGTGGAACTCCCCCGACAACAACCTGCTTGTTGCTCCTCCTCTCCTCGCAACCAGCTCTCATCCCCACCCTTCTCCACCTCTCCTTCCTCCTCCTCCATCCTCTCTCCGTCTCTCATTTGATCCCATCCCTCATTCCCTGCACCACAGAGGGAGAGCTGTAGCTGAGAGCAAGGTAAGGGGGATGCATGCGTGTACATTGTCCTTGCAGAATGTGTGTGTTTACGTGCCTCAGCTTCTCAGATTTCCACCGGGCAAGTTGTTCAGGAACTTGTCTCTTTCAGCCATTTGTTGTTGCGTTGGAAAGGGGAAAGAAAAAAAGAGAGAAAAAGGAGTGTCTGTGATTTTTTTTATGATGCTGAAAAGCACTAAAAAGATGCACACAGTTCTTTAACTATCTGCCAAGATTCTGGTCATCCGGATCTATTCACAGTGTGGAGACGTTTAGGTGTTGCTTTAGTCTGTCTTTCTGCAGATATCATCAAGAAACGGTGTCTATGGTGAGCAAAAAGTTTTGGAAAAGTAACAGGGAGGATAAGATGTGCAAGTATATATATGTGGAAAAAAAAGTGTGGACAACAAGAAACAGGATTCATTTATTCAAACATGCTTGCAGTGAGGCAGAAAATTAGCCGTGAAATCCAATCAAGTTCCATTGTCATTGCTCGTTTCCTAGCCATCATCGCATCAACCCCCATAGTGAATCAAAGACCAGCTCTTTTTGCCTGTTGTAGTTTTGCTGAGGTGGTGTGGGCGTGGATGTGTGTGCGTGTGTGTAGAGGGGACAACGGATACTGAAGGGACCACCCCATGCCATTTAATCTGTCCCTGCTCACAGATAACAGAAGGCAGATGGTCCCGCTGGAGTCCAGGAAGACAGAAGATCACTAATACACAGTGCAGACAGATAAACCTTTTCCTTCTGAAACAGAGACTGCATCAACTTCCAAATAAACAAGAGGAGAGAAAAAGCCACTGGTTCTTGGGAGTTGTGGGTTAAACAAAGCAGCGTGAGAGTTAATTAAAACCCAAACAGTATCCAGAATAAAAGCAGTCATTTGAGAGTCTGTTATAAACATAATGGAGAGAAGGGAAGTGAAAAAAAATAAAGAAGAAAAAAGAGCTGAGCTGTGAGTGAACAGGACCATCAAAGCACCATCAGGAGCGCCTGTGTTTAAAGTGGAGTATGTATTTATTTATAGAGGGCGGTAGTTAAGTTCACGAAGCTCCTTCTCTTAAAGCAAAAAGACCCAGACTTTTTTTTTTCTCTCCCCCCCAGCCTTATGAAAATTCAGCTGGCCATAATTTGCCGAGAAGCCATATGCATATTTTATCAGCGGGCGCGTTTTGAAGAAACGGGCCTCGGCAGAGCCTTCTCTGCATCTTCATCTTTATCAAGATTGAATGAGGGGGAGTGTGTGTGAGAGAGAGAGAGGGACAGAGGGGGGCTGTGAGGTTGTGAAGCCGTCTGGTGATGTGTGGCGCTCTGGACATTTGGCACGAGGGCTAAAGAAGAAGAATACACCAGTGGCCTTTATATGTCTACTACACTGGTTGGCTATCAGGACTCTATGATTTTTCAGTGTCACTTTTCTCTACTGTGACCATCTCTGTCTTTCTTCCCCTGTAATAACATCCAGCATCCTCTACTTGTTCTCCATTTCCACAATCCCTCCCTCTCTCTGCCTCCTCGTCCTCTCAATCTGTCCCCCCTCTGCATCTCTTTCCGTTAAAGCTTTATGGGTCGTTCACTGCCTTCTTCTCTGTGAAATAATGAGCGAGGCGCTTCTGAGCGACTTTGTAGCTGAGCGACTGTTTTGTGAGTTTGAATGTCGTAGCGTCCCGGGGCCCAGGAGCCTCTGATGTGCCGTCTGTAGCTGCCTTCGTGATTCCACAGCGATTGTCTTCTGATCTATGGGTGTGTGTGTGTGTGAGTGTGTGTGTGACATAATATACCTTGTTAGGTGAAGTCAGGGATGGTGTTTTTGTGAAAACTGCGTGACTTTGAACAAATGCGCTTTTCCAGAGAAAAAAAAGAAACGCACAGAGGACTGCAATTACATACTGTCACTGAACCACACATCCACATGTCAGTACAGATAAAAAAAGAAGCTAATAGAATGTTGGTATAGCAAAGAAAACACAGTTAAAGTCATTAAAGCACCCCCTGGTGGTGTTTGCGTATCCCTCGCAATGCCTGCAATCAAAGATGTTTTGAGAGTAGACCTGATTTAAAACCACCGACTAAAAATAGAAATAGAGCTATAAAGGCATCAACTTCTGAGCCGTATTAGCTACACACTTCACACTTTGAAAAGTGGTGCGATGATCTCTTCTTTTTTTTTTTTACACCGAGTGTCAAGCTGTGCTACACACATATCCCAGAGTAATAAAGCAGAGCAATTCTGATCCCCAACATAAATAATTCTGTGTGAACAGGATGGGATGTTTCTTCATATCAGCGAAGTATCAGCCAGTGCAGCTCTTTTAGGGTCTACGGGTGAAGTTTAAATAAGTGCATTGCTGTGTGTGTGTGTGTGTGTGTGTGTGTGTGTGTGTGTGTGTGTGTGTGTTTGTTAGTGATGGGCTCTGATTGATGCTCCTGACCTTTCCATTGCACATTTTCAGAGCCTGGGAGATACAGCCGCGGTGCAGGCAGCGAGAAAATAAAGAAGGGTCAAAAGAGGAGAAGGAGAAGCAGAATCAGTGATGGCGTTATCCTGGTGTCCCTTTGCAACTTTGATGCTGGTTTGGGGATCTTTGACGCCCCAGGTTCACCCGGCACTCGCACCGGAGAACGAGGTTCCTCTTCGCTCAACCACATGGTTACCAGAGGGAAAGATCATGACAGTAACTCTTCCAAAAGGACGAACTCGAAGGTAACAAAATTGACAAGGACAATGGAATCCGGACTTGATTTAAACTTGTCGGTAAATATTTGTTCAGCGTTCAAAACTAAGAGGGGGGTTTTGGTTTGGCCATGTGAAACACTTTTATCAAAGTGGCCATTTAGTACAACCTGTTGTAAAATTGATGCTATTTACCACACTCTTGGCAGCCTTGTAGGAGACTGAGAAGTTGCGTCTAGGGCTGCTTAATCATGGGAATCACAATTATTCAAACCACTATTATTGAGTTTGGAAAAACAACATCCAATGAGAACAGCAAATTACAGGGGGGAAAAAAATAGCTGATGCCTTCCTGTTGAATCTTTCTTTAAAATAATTGGCAACATATTTAAATATAGACTGCAGCTTTAACTTTTAACACACAATGACAACCAAACTACTCATAGACAAAAAACATGGAGTCAAATATCAAAACAAAATGAAATAACAAATTAACTAACAACTAACAAAGAACAATAAGAAAGTTAAGAATTGCTCTGCCAGAAACTATTCAACACAAGGAGGCACCAAATCCTGCACATGCAACAAATGCAATAGAAAACTCATTCTGGATTGTTAAATGAGACTTAGATAGGTGCTTATGTGCCGCCCTTCCAATGCAGCCCTGGGAAACAGCCAATATTGCCTATGTCGATAAACAGCCACCAGTGGTAACAAAAGCTAACATGTAACAAACAGAAAGTGAGATGTCATTGTTGGGTTATTTTAAGTTTCGTCTGGTAAACGTTGAAAAGTTTTGTGCGTTAATTTGAGAGCTTGTTTACTCCCTCCAGTTGCAATCAAACCAAAATTGCTGCTTTAGAAGAAAGTTTAAAAGAACAAAAAATCCAAGCCTATACACATAACTAAATATGGCCAAAAATAACTAGAAGCCTGAAACTTATTTAGGAAATATGTGATATGTGATAAGTCAACAGGTCAGTGACCTCTACTTTGAAAACCAAAATAAATGAAACAAGGCAGAACTCAAATGTTACATAAACTCCTAATTTATAATAATGGAAGAACATGCAAACTCCCTAAACATCAAACAATGACTTATAGATTCGATGTGGAATCACAAAATTTGCCCCCTAAAGTCAGAAACCTCTTTCAACATGCAGTTTGTGTTCACAGCAGTGTCTTCTGACTGGAGGTTTCATTATCAGAAGTGAAAGTGCCAAAGAATAATAAAAATGTGGCGGTCTTTCACGAGGCAGCAGATAAACACAACTATTGGATAAATAAAACATTTCAAGACATCTCCAGTTTTTTTTGTTTTTTGTTTTTGTTTTTTTGCACCATGAAAATTGTTAAACAAAATGCAAGTCAGGAATCTCTTGGTGCTGGAAATAAGCTACGTGGCAGTGGAGTCGGTCTTTAAAATAAAACCAACAACTGCCTGGTTTTGTTTTCAGTTTAGAGCACTGGGACGCTCTCACAGAAAGCTTCTCATTTACATAAAGTCACTCACTGTTTTACACAAATTATGAGAGAGGAACATAACACTCAGCCTCTAGAGACGCAATACCACACTGCCAGAATAGATTGTGCAGCTTTCTCTATAAAAATAGAATCTTGTAAATCCTTATTTATTTGAAACATGGCAGATCAGTAAAAGCCAGAAAACTGCTGTGATAATTTAAAAATATGTACACGTAAAGTCAAATTTCATAAACCTGAGTGTGATTTTCCATGTGTCATGTTTGTCAGAGTAGAAGTACCCGTTGAATACAAAAAGTTTCAAGCAGATATACTTTTCATTAAAAGCACATTTCTGTATTAAAAATGTGTTTTTGTTTGGTTGTTTGTCAGATCTAATAAAATGTCTTAACTGTAGGTAGAAAATCATAATAATTAATGTTTTTATAAAGCTATAAAAACATCAATCTGTGTATAATTAACCTATTTCTAAATTTCTAAATAAAATTAACTTTTTAACACTTGCAACGAGGCTTTCCAGATTATATAATGTAGGAAAAAAGTTTGGGTCTTTGAATTTGTTTTGCTAGAACATCATCCTCAAGCCCCAAACTACTTAATTCGTAGTACAAAAAAAAATAAAAAATAGTACTTCTTATTTCTCAACAACAAAACAAGCTTAACGAGATCTCTTCTAGCTTTCTCACACTTAGATATGCCTTTGGTTGTTGTTTTATTAAAGAAAAGGGCTCACAAATTCCGTCCTTCAGTCACATGTCGACAACCATCCATCTTTGTGAAAGAGAAAACACAGCTCGCAGCTCGTTTGGCCCGAACATCTCATCACAGATCTCCCGCTTTGCTTTCTGAAAGGCGGGAGCTGAAAAATACGTCTCCCCGTGTGCTCCAGTCTGTCCACCGGTGCAGTCATGCTGAACCGCATGGCAAATAATGGAGAGAAACACTGATTCAGGAAATTAATCACTGTTAAACAAGCAACTAAGTGCCCTTGAAAATGACATTGTCGCACATCTGTTTGCAAATAGCCGGCATCTGGCCAAGATCATAAATGATTGTGTTTCTGCTTAAGGATAACAAATATTTATTAGGACGCACTGACGCAGTTATGAATTCTCATTAAGTAAAACTAACTGAACATAAATTATAATGAAGCATTGCTCTGTTTTAACGTGGCATCAACATACACAGCATTCTGGTTGATTGTGAATTTAATTACTTGCTGCTATGGCTACATCTGATTCTCAGTCTAGACCTCCTGCAAAAATAATGACTAATTTGGATGTAAGAAAGGGGAAACAATGCAAGTAGAAAATCTTGAAAAGTTTCCAGCATCAAATCAAGCTTTGGTCAATTAATTTAGAAGAAACCAGCCTAACTTCTCTAAAACCGACATCCACCAAAATGAAAGAACACAAACGCCACTGGGTAATATCTCGCCTCTGCAGCTGAATTGAAATAAGATGTTATCTCTTTTGACGTGTCCCATGAAGAATGAACCCAGGTCCTGTGGCTATCTCTCCCTCCCTGTTCGCAGGTTATATTTCACGCTGAAGAAGAAGACCTCTGCGATGTCGGTGACTGTGAGTCCCTGCAGCCTCCCCATTGAATGGAGCCTGGCCGCTCGCACTCTGAAGGACAAACCGCTCAAAAACCTGCAATGTGAGTAAACAAACTTCGCCTTCCTAAATCCTGAAGTTAATCACCAAATCTTGCTAAGCTCAGATGATCAATTAGATATTATCATGACCCTCTCTGGGTTAATTGGGGGGAACAGCATGGCTAATCTTACCTTTGGCTGTGATTGTAAAAGAGAGGTGACTTTGGGAAAGAGAATTCATAAGCAGCATTACTGTTTTTGAACTGTTTAAAGGGGTAGTGGATATTGTGTAAAATCAGCTTTTCTGAGCACCTTCCCCCATTCAGCTCCACCAGACTAGTGGCAGCAGCAATTAGCAAACACCTGATGGAATTGCGCATCTGGTTAGCTTACTATAGGATCTACTCCTCAACCCATCGCTGCGGAGTAGATGGGTTGTAAATGCCGTCATGAGAAGCTTGTTGCAATGACGTGCTGAAGGCGGACAGTCAGCAAGAGTAGGAGCTTCTTAAAGACACAGAAGCCCCATGTCAAGGCATTACATTCAAATTTCTTTTAATTTGTGTTTGAGATACCCTCATTTTTGTCACAAAGAGGTTACATAGTTACTTGATTACACTATAAAAAGGAAGTATGACCCTGCAACCTACATAATGCCACCCATTTCACATCTACTTATGTTTACCACTACATGTCACAACTACTTTATGTGGTTTTGATATGTAAAAAAACATCTTAGGCTCCTATTAGTAAACTTCACCCAGGTGTTCAAGTTGAAAACAGGAGTAAAGATACACATATATTAAAGTGCTATGCATTCTTTCAAAATCAGACAGGGCCAGTCATATCTGTTGTATATTCTTGACTCCGAGTTTGAAGTATCATAAAACATACACTGCACTCTGTTTAATTTAAATCCTTCTAGAGCAAGGACATACCACTAGGATCTCCAGTCCTGCAAGATCCTGGAAACAAACATGTTGAATAAACTCGCAACAGAATTCCACATTGGATTCGATCCGCAATCAAGGAATGAATTCAAAATAAACCAAGAATAAATCGCCCTTTGGTAATGAACAGGCAAAAAACATGTTTGATTTTGTTTTGTGCGAGTGTGTCTGGTAACCTGCAAAGGTTACATGAGCCAGCTTCCCCACATAAAAAGATTACATTATGAAGTTCTAAAATGACACATAAATCATTCAGACTCTGAGCTTGTGAGTCTCCATCGCTAGTGTGAATTATTCACTTTGATTCTGTAACATTTAGTCTCGACTGAGGAGGGATTTTTCAGCTCCAGGAGACATGAACTGAGAAAACAAGTGTTGGTGTTTTTCTTTTGTTGTGTGTGCGTTCGTCCATTGCATCTTTCAGATGAGGAGCTTGCATAGTTCACAACAAAATCAAATTTGTTTGAATGAAAGGCAGTAATGTCTGAAGTGGCATTCGACATTTTATGCGGCTGTTCATTAATTAGGTGCAGAGGAGTTTCATGCATCTCGGTCATGAGTTGTGTGCAATTTGAAGAGGGTTTGGCCTTTGGTTTCATAACATAAGTAGGTATTATTTGGATATGTGCAGTGTTTGATTGTTTGACTGAATTCCAAGCTATTTTTAGTATTCAGCTATTGTATTTCCTTTATCTACCTTTGGATACAAACACAACAAACATAATAGATAAAAGGGTTTTTATAAAAGGCAATTCAGCAACAACAGAAAATTGATTGTTGTCATGGTAAACAAGCTTCTCCAGCCTATAATGAGAGAGAGAGAGATAGACAGACAGACAGACAGACAGATATTTTTAGGGAGATTTCAGGTTACAATCATCTATAAAACATAAGTTTGCCAAAATCTTTAGACTGGAGAGAAACAAAGTATAAATGTTCACACAATAGGATGCTAATACACATGCTAGCTAAAATAAATAAATAAAAATAAAAAATCATCGACCAGGGTTGCTTTCCGCACAATTCATTAGGAATATGTCAGATTTACTCCCGTAGGCAGTTGCTAATGCTAATGCAACAAGTCATTTTGTCGATAAAAATATGAGTATCATCAGCTAAATGCAAATTCTTATGACTAAACACTTGCTGTTTAAGTGAAAAGGATGAGAATGTATTTGTACTCAGCCAACCTCACTTCAATAACCACTACAAGCAGCCAAGTGGATCATGGTTACACTGGACAAGCAGCCTAATATCTACAGCTAAAGTGGAAGAATCAAAAGTCTCTCACTTCTAAATATGGACAACAACACTGTTCTGTGCGCTTTGCTTGTGCAGTGATAGGGAAGTTACTTAGAATTAATGGGAACAAGGTAAAGAGGCCAAAGCTGGGCAGAAACACTGTAAAATCTTTACAGTGACTTGGCTAGAGATTTAACTCTAGCAAAGACAACAATCTAAAACATACAGCTGGAGCTACAATGGAACAACTTCAATGAAAGTTTAATCACATGTTGGAACGTCCCAGTCAATTCCAATCTATGGCAACACTTGAAAACTGATGTGTAAAAAGATATTTTGCATAGAATTGGCAAAGATGTCAGACCCTTGATGGGCAAACCTAGTAGAAAAATAAACTTTTGTTTATACAGTATTACCTTCATAAAAAAATGATTAAACCCACATTTTCCTTGCTTTCTGCTTCACAGTTATGCCCTTGTTACAACCTCTCCCATAAAATCATAATAAGACATATATGTGGTTGTAATATAGTAAAATATAATTATATTAAAGAGTACAGTATACATACTTTTACAAACCACTGTAGGGAGAGCTGGTTTGTATTTTTAAGATTTGTGGAGGTAATGTTGCAAAAAGTATGTGTTGAAAAGTTAAAGGCTCGTTAATATTTCCAGAAATTGTCAAGGATGGGTAGCGCAAGTTCAGCTCAATGTAATTTTCTTTCCTTGAAGTTCTCACCAATCTTAATTATTTAGTGTTGATGTGCATAGTTAAGAAAGTTAAAGCGATAATTTGGTTCAAAACAAGCAAATCTGTTTTCGAGATGAGTTTGACTTCAATGTAGAATCAAATACTCATGTTCTTTCCTTCCAGGGAGCACCAAGAAAAGCACGCCTGAGGTGTGGTGGCGAGGGCCTGGCACAGAAGAGAAAATCCACAGCTTCACCGGTGATACAGTGGACACTTACAACGGCACTTCACATCTCAGTGCTTCTGTCTATGTCGTGAGGCTGCGTTCGAAACAGCAAAGCACTAGAGCTACAGTTTTCCTCCACGAAGGCCAAGGGCCTTCAGGCATATTCCCTCGACTACCAGCTGACCCACGAGTTCACACGTTAGGAGTTGGTATGACCAGTGTTACCCTCAGCTGGCAGCCCAGTTCCTCCATAACAAGCCTCCCAAAGGCGAAAAACAGTTACGATTATTGCGTCCTTGTTAACTCTCTGCAAAACTACCACAGCCTCTGTGCTGCTCAAAAGAGGGAGAGAGGGGAGAAAGATCAGAGTCAAGGCAAGAAGGAGAAAAAGAGACAAGCAACACCATGGCCAATCTTAAAAGAGTGGTGGTGGGAGCAGTGGGAGAGCTATCCCGAGTCCCAGAGTTCGCCATCTTCACTTGCTGATGATTTTGATAATCTTCAGTGCGTGTGTCAGGGGACGGAGAACGTTTGCACGGTCTCTGAGCTCCTGCCTGACACCTCATACTACTTTGACGTTTTTGTGTTAGATAAGGTGAATGGGACCAGCGCAGCGTACAAGGGGGCTTTTGCGCGGACACATGAGGAAGCTCGAGCTGCAGTCGTGCCGCTGAGGGAAGGAGAGCTAAGGTGGGTAACCTTTCAGGACGGAGGCTCCGACTCGCAGCAGTTGTTCAGTTTCCGTCCACGGGGATGGCAGCAGAGTGGCCTCCTCACCTTGCAGAGCTGTGGTGGGGGTGAAAAGATGAAGGTAACTGTCTCCAGTAAGGGACGGGTTTTGGCCACTCAGGGTGTGGAAGCAGAGTTAATTCACATTTGGCTCCAAGGAAGTCCTTCCTATCTTATCCACTTGCAACAAGAAGGAACTGCAACTAGCAAAGTAACTTCTGTTGAAGACTCAGCTCTGAAAGCTTCGGTTAAAATGCAAGTTTCATCCGCCTACCATCGCAGAGGGGTCCCATCTCTACCGTCCACCTTGCAGATAAAATCTTTCAACCGGCTGCGAGGTTGCAACAGCGTCACCCTGGCCTGGATGGGAACAGAGGAAAGAAGTCTGTACTGTGTATACCGCAGAAAGCTCAGTAGCTTTGATGCAGAAACTGGGGGAACATCAGCTCTGACCGCACCCTGTCTGGGTCCAGAGTCTCGCTCTGACACCGAAAGGGTTCTCTGCAAGTATTTCCAAGAGTTGAATCCTCGACGGGCCGTGACTACAGCTGTGATCGGGGGTCTGGAGCCAGGAGTGGCCTATGTGTTTGATGTGTATCTAATGAGACGCTGGGGGATCCCTATCAAGTATGCCAGCAAGATGGTGAAGACCAGAAAGGAATGCTGAGCTGCTGCCCCCTAGAGGAGCCTCACAAGTTGTCCCTGTTTATGGGAACGTGCATCAGCCCCAGACATGCTGTAAAGAGACCAAGAGCTCAAGCCATTTGATTGTTGTCAGGAGGCATTTTGCAACAAAAAAAAAAAAAAAGAGGAAATGTTCTCTTGAAGAAAAAAAGTGGTCACATGCAAACTCCACTTTGTATGGCAAGAATTAGGAAAGGATGTACACACCAGCAAAAGTTCATGACATTTATAAAACAACTTTTGTGCTCTTGTCATTTTGTTCCTCGTTGCAGATCATCACAACAACATGCCAGTCATGCAGATGTTTTTTTTTTTTTTTTTTTTTTTGCCTGTGCCCAGTTACAATGGATGGGCAAAGTTTGAGATGACAGAAAGTCATTATAGAAACAACAAAGGAGACTGTGCCAAAGATGCAACAGAAGCAGATGGGGCAATAATGAGAGAAGATCTGAGACGTAGGGATTCGCAGCATGCATCTGCAGAGCTGCATATTGTACAAACTAATAAACACAGGTGGAAATAATCTGAAGATGCTAAATTCAAAGTCTGTGTTTGTCTTTGTGTTCTGCTTTCGCATGAAGCAGTGTGAAATTTCTAGTGGCTTGCCTCATTGTCTTTGATGTATTCTTGTGCTGCTTCAAAGTCATCAATAAATACTAAGGTTTCTGTGTATTCCTGGGTGATGGATTATATTGTATGAAGCCTAAAGTATAAAATATTCCATCAAACAGTTCAAGTAAGCTTTTAACTTTTAGCTTGTCTGTTCTGGCCAGAGAAATTTGCATTGACTGGAACTGGTGATAACAAATGCACTGAAAGAGTGTATTTTACAGTGTAAATTTTCTGACAATGTATGATAAGTGTGCAGTACCGGATGCATTTTTGATCAGCCCCAATAAAGACGTATCAAAAGCCTTAAAATAAATTGAGGTTTTATTGCAGTTGCAGTCTCACACTGAAAGTTTCAGACAAATCTTCCCTTTTGACTGAAACATAATTGATCAAAGGAGAAAAGACCATGTATTAAAATACAAAATTTGAACAAAATAACTGCTGGCACAATTATTTATAACCCTGCTGTTAATAACTTGAACAGCCCCCCCTCCATTATCCCAACAGGATAAGTTGGAACACAAATAGAGAGAAATATTCACCTTTACACCATGTCTCTATTTTTTCTATTTGTATATAGGCTTGGGGAGAATGGTGACCACTAATTGCTGGAAGAAAACTAAATGTGTGTCTTATAAATTAATTCTGTGTCGATTTAGCAACACAGTATTATGTGGTTGAAAGACTAAATGCCATGATGATTATGTTTCATGCCTTTTGGAATAGAAACAGAGCTACATCATCACAGATCCTCCACCGTACTTAAAAGTGGGCATTACTGCTTTACCACACTCAGTATTTATCCCTTGTTCCATGCAAAATTCATCTACACCATATGTTGCCCAGCAAAATTTTAAATGGTTATGTTTGTGATGTTAGGACAGAAAAGGCCTTTTTAGTATGGCATGCATCCTGAAATTCACATGAAGCAGTGTGAAATTTCTAGTGGCTTGCCTCATTGTCTTTGATGTATTCTTGTGCTGCTTCAAAGTCATCAATAAATACTAAGGTATCTGTGTATTCCTGGGTGGCAAATTGCATCAAGACATTCCACTCTTTGCTTCAGTACTTCAATATGTAACTTAGGGAAATCTGAGTTTATTCATTTATATGTTCATTTTATTTTTTTATTTATTGTTTTCTGGATTTCTTAATACCTTTCTCCCTATATGCAAACTTATTACTTTTCTTTTTTCATATTTTCTATTTGTGGTGTCAAAAAGAAACAAAGGTCTTTAACCATGTTGCAGCAACATGATAGGAATTCACATGTGGATGCTGTGGGACAAGTTTCTCTTCTAAAAAACCTTGGATGGTCTGATGGCATCATAAAACTTTTTAATAGCAAAATATGTTACTTAAAATTTTGCTGGACTCTGAGAAAATCTGAAATGGGTCATATTTGGGTCAGGATAAAGACATGAGGGGTAAGTCTAGATTTTTTTTTTTCTTTTTTCTTCTTTACATTGTTTGAACCTCAGAGATTGTTAGATTCATTTCATACTTTTTTTCCATATTTTACTAATTAATAATGTCTTTACCTAGCAGTTTAATTAATCCATAAAGTGTAATAATGGAGGGCAGATGGGTGAAACAGGAAAAAAATGCTACGTAAAAAAGGGCACTCTCTGAGTACAACCAATGAAAGAACGCGTACAGTGTTACGTAAGCACGTCTCTGCACGTACCGATGTAAAGGATAGGCCAGCGCGCCAAACTGACATTAACAGCTCAGGACCCGCAGAATACTTGAGCAATTATCTAAGTATTGGCGTCAAATAATCTATTTAGATCGTGTGACCGACTAGACTCTGTGCCAACTTACCCGGTTAAACCAGAACTCTTTCTTTTACGATGGGTTTGCTCGAGCGGTGTCGGGAGCTGTTCAACACCTCCAACCTGTACGAGGTTCTGGGTATAAACAAAGAGGCGAGTGAGGCAGACATCCGAAAGAATTACTACAAAGTGTCGCTGAAGGTCCATCCAGACAGGGCTCCAGACGACCCGCAAGCCACAGAGAAGTTTCAGGTCAGCTTTCAAAACTGGCAAGCTAGGAACTAGCTTAGCAAACTGAAGCTAACTTGTATATTTGCCACAACTAATGTAAAAACCCAACTGTAGCTCTACAGTATCATCTGTATTGCGGGTTTTCCGTCAGTGCGGCGGCACCGACACGTTTAATAATCGAGTTCCAATGCTGACAAGAAATGTTTCTAAATTCACGGGTACAGATTAAGTGTAAAAATGTACCCGTAGGTCCTCGGGAAGCTTTATGCGGTGCTGAGCGACAAGGAGCAGAGGGCCGTGTATGATGAGCAGGGGCTGGTGGACGAAGAGTCGGACGTGCTCAGTCAGGACCGCTGCTGGGAAGAATACTGGAGACTGCTTTTCCCCAAGGTACTAAAGTACAACAGTGGTCAAAAGCAGCGCATTCACAGAAACAACCGATGGACATGTCTCAAAGCTGTTTTAATACAGATATGTGTATTTATTAATCCCAAACCTTATCAGCTTACTTTTATCAATCATATACACCGATAACATAATTTCAGTTATTATGTGGATTAAAGTGTTTCTTTATTGTTGCAGTAACCATAACAAAAAATATTTTGAATGATACTGAAAGGAAAGGCTAGAAGTAGTTGTCACTCAATTTTTTTTCTATCCAAAATATTCATACTTGCCCACTAATATTTGGATACATCTCAGTAAACAATTTGCAGGACAAGCACAAGCACATAATTGCATCAACACGTTTTGTGGTGTGATTCTTTTTGGATCTGCAACTATTCTTATCAGAAATGGAATAGAGTTCTATTGACATTGGTTGGCGTTATCCTAGAAGCTTGGTGTTAACCCACTTTATCCATTCCAAAAGAAGAGTGACACTTTGGATGTTTTTGTTCTGACCATTAAAATGTGTCCTAGTTTTAATCAGCAAGGACCAAATAGAATTGATAAAGCAGGCTTGTATAAAGGCTCTGGTCCTAAACCCATGGAAAACTTGTGAACCTCTCTCAAAATAAGAAACAACTCAGTCTAAAATAGACCTGTAAATTCTGTCAAAAAAAGAGAGAGGTTGCATATATTATGCTAACGTCTACTCAATCCTCCTCCAAGACTTGTACCACTATGCTACCTGTCATGATGATCCGGCTTTCTGTTCTTCTCCTAGATCACAGTGCAGGACATCCTCGAATTTGAGAAGAAGTACAAGGGGTCCGATGAAGAGCGGGAGGACGTGATCAGGCTGTACGTGCAGCACCAGGGGGATATGGATGCCATCACGGCGTCGGCTCTCTGCAGCTCTCAGGAGGACGAGCCCAGGCTGTGCTGCATCATCCAGGCTGCCATCGAGAGCGGAGAAGTAGAAGCCTTCCGAGCTTTTACGAAGGAGAGTCAGGCAAAGAAGAGAGCCCGGAGAAAGAGGGTGAGAACTGAATCGTTTCAGAGGTGAACTTCTGTTATCTTTTCACTTTGCTAACAGCGTTGGTTGTAACTGATCTTTCAGGCTGACCGGGAGCGAGAAGAAGCAGAGGAAATGCAGAAAGAAATGGGACTTGGTGAGGATGAGGAGAGCCTTGTCATGATGCTAAAGGTATCGCATCCCTACGTGCATCAATCTACAAGAAATGCGATGGATTCTGCTCAGTTGGCCTGACTTTAATCTCTTCCACAATTTTGCAGAAAAACCAGCAGTCCAGAGAGAGGAACTTCAACAGTTTGTTGTCAGATCTGGAAGCAAAATACTCACAAAAAGGCAAAAAAACACAAAAAGGAAAAAAAGCCAAAAAATAAATCTGAGGAGGGGAAAAAAAAAAAGTTTTTTATGTTGTTATTCTAGTTCAGACAAAAATAGAAATGTTTTAAGAATAACTGATTGCAACTGTTTCAGCCTACACAAACATGTAAATCCTCTTATTTCTTGTAATGTGTTGTAAAAGTTCTATTAATAAATGCATGTGTTTACATAATTTATACACTTTATTTTCATTACAAAACAAATTATAGGACTGAGGAGGAGAAAAAAAAGGTTATCCCTTTGTAAAGATAGTAAAGAAACTATTCACTAACCCCTGATGTTACTCGTCAAAGTACAACCAGTTGGCTTTGCTCAAACAAAGAGCAAGTAAATAATATTAAATACACCACTTTGTTCAGACACCATGAATAAATTCCTTTTGTTATTTACAAATCTGTATATTATAAGATTCCTACATTGTAGAATAATTCCAGCAAAAGCACCTTGATTATGGAGAGCCATTGAGACGGCGCTGTTTTTATGAGGGACGGTTGGATTTTGATACAGTATGAAGCTCCCTGACATCAGAGCGGGAAGGAAAAGGTGCTTTTTTATGTCCTATGAGCAGATACGATTTATAGGTTTCCCTGCATAGTCATTAACATTTACAGCAACACATAGGAGGCCATTTTATACAGCATATTTCCGTAAATAGTCATTCTCATCAAACATTCACTGACACGTATGACCCATACTGTACAAAGACTGGTCGTTTTTTATGTTTGGCAGGCCCACAAGGTGATTTCTGAAATACAAAAAAGAAAAATAGGCCTTGAATTTAATCAACAAAAACAAACCACTTTGAAACAAGACAGAGGGCAGAGATGGTGCAGGTAAAGATGGATAGCAGGGAGGTCGTTGAGATCAAGGGGGGGGGGAAACTACAAGCCAGGCCTGCTGGATCTGGATGAGACGCCACCGCAAGTGTAGGAGCGAGATGGAACGGGAGCAGCTGCTGGAAAACGGAGGAACATCCGACGATAAACTTGAGCTGTTTATAAATGTAATGATTCAGACAGAAGATGACCCGACTTGAGTTCAGTCGAGTTACTGTACTGACCTGCGACAGGACTCTGTGCCTCGGGCTCTTCTTCGTCTTTGATGGGCGAGGGCCCCAGCAGGGGGTGAGGATACGAGTCCAAGAAAGACGAGCTGCTGATGCCAAGACTGACACCGGTCACACCGATTCCCAGAGAGTCTGAAGAAAAACATTAAAATTAATATGGAAGTCATTAAACACAGTCCTAATAGAAAGTAAA